ACTTTGCCAGCTTTGTTCAGGTCCAGCATTAATGATCATCAATCCCGACCACCGGCACTGGCTGTGAGAGAAAATCACTGCCGACAAAACCAAAAAGAATTCCACCAGTTGTGTGTGTGGGTCTCAGAGAGCAGATTATCACATCAACCAGTGCGCCGTTGAGGCCTTTGTGAGCGGAGCAAACTCACAGTAGCCCGAGCGCCCAACATCAGCACCAAGCATCTTCCAGCTGCCCGTCGGAGCCAGTTCTGCGCCAGAACGCGCAGAATCTACCGCAGCGTGCCCGGATGTAGGACGCCGAGCGCCAGCAACGCGAACACCCTTCAAAATTGACAAAATTGAATTCTAGGGTGCAAGTTCGGAAGTTTGCACATCATGCCAGAAAGGCAGGGCTTCCGAAAAACTCCGCGCAGCCTAGAGCTGCTTCACTTTCGCGCTCGCCTCTTCTTGCCACGCGAGGGGAAATCCGCTGGATTTTCGCTGCAGGGGACAAAGATAAAATGCAGCTGAAGATTTCCAGCCATCGCCAGAGAAGCGACCTTCCGCAACAGCCTGTTCAACTGTGAAGATGACCTCCCTTTCGCGGCCGCGCCCAGAAAAACTGCAGAGTCAAGCAGAACAACAACTCTTGTCGAGTGGTGCTTGGTGGACCGCAGAAGCCACTTCAAGAAAAGCACGAATGCCTCACCTTCCAGGACGTTGATGTGTGCAGGAAATTTGGAGCGAACACTGAAGATGTCGGAAAAGTGCTCAAGCTTCAAATTGAGGTACCGTGCCTCCAGCATCCGCTCAGCGCTCAAACTTTTCGCAGCATCACCGTCCATAACTACAAAAGCCCCTTGCTTTTCAGCCCAGCGAGCAACCGTTCGGACCATTTCTTCCGAGGCACGCACAATGCTTGCCCCCAAACCATAGGATAAGCTGGCATCTGTTGCACCAAGCATCGGCAAAAAACGCCTTCTCAAGTCGCAGCGCCAAAACATGCCCAGACAGAGGCTGCACGCCAGCTCCGCCAACACCCGCTCAGGCAGCGGTACAGCATCAGGACTGTCACTGATCGTGAAATCATAGATGGCACTGTAAACGGATAGCTTTGGCCTGATCAGGAGGTCAAACCATTGCAGCACCCCAAAGAGCTGGTGGACCTGCCGCGGCGTGCCCACCCTGCATCTGTGCAGGTGCAGAAATGTCAGAATCATGGCCAAGTAGCGTCCCCCCGGCACATCCAGAAAGTATCCGTCTACTAAGTCAACCCCAACACAGGTACCACAGAGCGCGTCGTCAACGTCCTTCTTAAGATTTCGGACTGCGCATCGTGCATCCATCGCTGCATCGAAAGCTCTTGCTGCTTCACAGGTGGTACCAGGGCCAGCGTCGCTGAAAATCATGACATCATCGGTGGCCACCGCAGCAACAAGCTCAAACGATGTAGGTGTCACGCAATCACAAGCCAAGAGAGATGAAGTTGGTATGCCAGCATCTTGACAAACGCTCAGCATCTCTTCTTGGGCTATGTAAGAAGACCAAGAAAATCCCATAGGCCAGACGCAGTGCAAAGGATATAGCAAACCTTCGCGCCAAGCATGTCCATCTTCCATGTGCTGCCGCTGATCCGCCACTGACATTCCAGCATTGACAAGTTCCACTGTGGAGATGGGCGGTTTGGCCATGTATTGACGAAGAGAGCTGGGAAGCTTCAACTGGTCAAACCAACACGTAGCATCGCGCTTGCTAAGGCGTAGTGGTCTTCCATCGCTGCACTCCAGAAAGGTCAACGCAGTTGGGGAAGCCAAGTGTCTCGGCTTTGGAGGTGCAGAAGCTGATTCTGAAACACGTCGGCCGTGCCATACCTCCCTCAGGCGTTCACCCCCAGGCTTCCCAACAGCGAAAGTGGTACCACCACCCTTGCAAAAAGTTGCTAAACTCAACTTACCACACCGCAGCTGCTTGACAACCAATTTTGCATATTCGTCTTTCGGGCCCTTGGAGAAAGATTCAAAAACACGCAAACAATCATCGCAAGCGGGGCCAAGGGAAAAACATCTCGTTGCCGAGTTCTGACCGGCGGCTGCACAGGCAAGGAATTGCAAAGAAATTCACCCAACACTCCAGTTCCAGTTTTGGCGGCAAGGGCGAGACGGTAGAACAACCAAACCTTGTCTGCTGGAATGGTGGAATGGCCATCTGCCCTCCATGCCAGCCACAAAGCCCTTCTGCGTCGGGAAGAACAACGGCTGGCAGAAGAACGGCCCTGTTTTCGATCGGAAGCATTCTGACACGTGGCATGAGCAGAGGCTCTGTGGAAGTCGCGTCTTTTCTTGGATGGTGACATGCAAACTCTTCCCCGATGAAAACTTCTTTGCTGGCGGAAACCAAAAAACTCCAGCGAGGAGATCCAACGAGAGAGGAGCTTGATCACTGCCCACCCATGCCGGACGGACCCACACAGACACCGCACGAAGCGACCCTGATTTCTGACTGGAGCCCATTTGGCCACATTTCTACCGTTCTGATATCAGTTGATACTGGAACTCATCACTTTTCGGTTTCTGCTGACGGATGCATCACCTTTCACTGAACGGTTCGTTCATGAATAATTGTCCATTCGATAACACCCCGACGCTTACATTCGATACTAAAGGGCCCCCGACATTTAATTCTGTACTAAAACTCCCCGACGATTACATTCAGTACTAAAGCCCCCCGACAATTACGTTTTGTACTAAAACCTCCCGACAATTACTTTCTGTACTAAAACCTCCCGACAATTACTTTCTGTACTCAAACCTCCCGACAATTACTTGCTGTACTAAAACCTCTCGAAAATTACTTTCTGTACTAAAACCTCCCGACAATTACATTCTGTACTAAAGCCTCCCGACAATTACATTCTGCACTAAACCCTCCTGACAATTACATTCTGCACTAGGACCCCCCAACGTGACCTCTTCCCACAGTGCCGCATAAAAAAAGAACCCTTAGCATAAAAAAAGAAACCATTAGCAGAAAAAAAGAAACCAAGAGCAAAAAAGAAAGAACTGCAAGCACAACAGAAAAAACCATTAGCATAAAAAAAAGCACTATAAGCATAAAAAAAGAAACCCATACCCCAAAAGCACACCAACCCCGCTATGAGCATAAGAAAAAAACCATTAGCATAAAAAAACACCCAGCCCGAAAACAACATCCCAGTAAGAGTTCCATGCTGTGTTGAGCGCCTACCGAGTAGAAACTGAGGTTTGAAGCCTGCTTAGGCCTTACTAATGTCTGAACATAGGTTTCAACAGGGGGGGCCTGGGTGTAGGAGGGCGTGCATAGTAGCCATGATATTCGGGATTTCAGAGGGCTCGGTCTGTTGTGACCATTTGACAATCTTAAAAAAGTGCACCGAGCATATTTGTTCTGGGAACATGTCGCTCGGAGCGGCGATGTTGCGTGCGCTGCCGACTCTTTCTGAGCACGAGCATGCATCCAAACCAGCAGAGCAGCAACAGCTAAGCAAAAAGGAAGCGTCGGCACAAACAGCGGCAACAGCGGCGGCGGCAGCAGCGGTAGCAGCAGTGGCTGCAGCACAGCAAAGCAGTAAGCAGCAGCACCAGCGGCAGCAGCGGAAGCTGCAGGTGGAGGTTGGCAGCAGCCAGCCAGCAAGGCCAAAGCAAAAGGAAGACGGTGGAGAAGGACCAGCAGCGATAGCAGAATAGGGCGGCCGAATCGTTCGAGCTTCCGACGAAGGCGGCTACATCCTAGGACTGAAAGGCCAGCCCCCCACGGGTGCGACCCAGGGTTAGAATAGCGTGTCATAGGGTTGAAATAGCATGTTTATGGGTTGGAAAAAAAGGTTCAAGGGTGGAAAAAACATGTTTCCAGGGTGAAAAAGGCATGTTTCCAGGGTGAAAAAAAAAGGTTGGAATATACGGACCATGGGTTGATTTAGTAGGGGTTACATTTTTTCCAACCCAGGGTTGAAAAAGCGTCTTGGAGGGTTGAAAAAAAGGTTAGGGTTGAAAAAAAATGTTGGAGGGTTGAATAAACATCCAGCCCGACACCGGCCCCAGGCGAAAAATATTAGCAAGTTATGGGCTTGGGAGATTCATTTTTTCTCGCCCCTTTTTGCCGCATGAAGGTCGGATGGGGGGGTTCCGGAGTTACACTCACAGCTTCCGCTGACCAACCGCCGGGCCACTTGGATGGCGGGATGCCTGGGGCGGGGGGGAGGGGGGGCAGTGTTCGAGCAATGTCAGGGGTATGGCTTCGCCATCTGGGCCGGTAAGGGTTGCTGGGTCTTGCATGGTGAGACTGAGATTCATTAGGGGCAACCTGATATATATATATATATTTTAACTTATTATGTACATATATAATACATATGCACCTCACCACATCTCTCTATATATATATAACTATATATATATGATATGCAAAGTTGGCAGCGATCGCTGGCGGCAGGGCAGCCGCTGCGCCATGTACCTGCCCAGTGGGCAACATGCAAAGACTGATGCTGCATGTGTGTGTGACAAAAAATGCTGACTCCATCAGCATCTCTCTCTTTCTGACTCTCTCTGTTCTTCTCTCTCTCTCTCTCTCCCTCTCTGCTTGCTCGCGGTCTTTGTCTTCTGTCTCCCTCTTTCTCTGCCTCTGCTTCTTTCTGTCTTTCCTTCCCTCTTTCTTTCTTTCCTTTTCCTGTTCTTTCCTTTCTTTCCTTCCTCTCGTTCTTTCGTTAATTCTGTTTCCTTAGATACTTTTCTGTTTCTTTACCCTTTCTTGCCTTCTGTCCTTTCTTTCTTGTCTTGTCTGGTCTTTCTTTTCCTTGCTTTCTTTCCAAACCAAAAACGCCTTGTCTTTTCTGATCTTTTCCTTGCTTTCTGACATTTTGTGTCCCCCTCTCTCTCTCTCTCAGAAACGCTCGGTGATCGCGCTGTCACGTGGTTTTCGCCACGGGCGGCCGAAGCCCATCTCAGAGACGCAGTTTCGCGTGCTCTACCCCACTCTCGCCATCTTGCTCTAAGCTTCGGATCTTCTTGAAAAGATCCCACAAAATGCCCTAGCAGGTCATCAGCTGCTAGAGACGAGAGTAAGCCAAAGTGTTTTGGCCCTGGTGCGTTTTACAAACATCGTGTTGCAGTACCCGTTCAGTTTTTGCTTTTTCATGTCACTTAGCAACCTTTCTTGGCCTCCCTTGCGTTTTGATAAATGATCCCATAGGCCATGCTCTACAGATAGCTATACCCAACATCCTTCACAGCAGCATCAAAGACTTATCTTATCCATTAAAGAGGTCTATGGTGAATCTGGTACACAATTCAATTTCAAAAATGATGAATTTTTGAAGAAAAATCAATCGAGGCGCGACGAATACGTGAAGCTTTGTGATGCTACGGTTTCGTGCATATCACATCAAGCAGATCCTCAGATTATTCCCCCGAAAAGGTTCGTCAATTGCCTTCAGAAGCACACGAGACAACTCTGGGTCAGCCCTTATGTCCGGGGACAGACTGAGCTGAAGGAGCTGTGCTGTTTGTCGTGCTTTTCCACGAGATGGCAAGTCAGCGGGGTTACTGTATGAGCAAACTCTTTCGTACCATGTCATGGTCGGCCACCTACCCTCCATGTCGCAATGAACTCTGCACATCGCGGCCATGGTTGGGGATGGCGACGAACACTTGACAAAAGCTGCTCGAGCGGCCTCATTGTCTATCCAAGCCAGAACCCGGCGATTCACCCACTCATGCCTGAAGCGCCACTTGATGGCCAGGAGGGCCCACATTTCTACTTGGCAGTTTATCTGGTCAAGATCATGGGACCGCCTGGCTACCAACTCTTTTGGGACCTCAAGACCGCAACAAATGGATGTTCCCGTAGCGCAGTCGAAAACCACGGCGCCGGCCGATGCTACACCGTCTTCCCAGGCACCGTCCGTGAACACGAGCACAGGAGGTATTGGGTCAGTGAGTATGTGTTTACGGGGCCTTAGGTGGGTCAAGAGGTTTATCGCATACCTACAGACGAGTCTCAGGCGTTTAGCATTAGCTTTTGAATTGAAGTCTGCTAGTGGTGCGAAACACGAAACTAACTGCTTACATGCTTTCGTCGAATAAAAACCAAAATAGCACGAGGTGACCGCATGGAGCAGTTTGGTCAACAAGAACCACAAGGCCTGGCCTATGCGCACAAACCCATATACACTACCATTGGCACCGAAGGGAAGGGCAATGCTCTTATACAAGGGCCATTTATCGCCTACGGGAAAGCCTACGATGGTGAGATGTTGGTGGTCAGGTTGCACTGCAAGCTGCTTATTATATGCTTTGCTTAGGTCAAGAGTTTTCCCCAACCAACGTTCATCTGCATCTGTGTCGACTGCGCTTTTGGACTGTCATTGCATACCTAAGCATGGCGGCTATGTAGTACTGTCTTGCAATTGAAGCTTCACAGTTGAGGAGTAGGCAGAATTTAGGGCACTTTGCCTTGCATCATCGATGACGCGCACTTTGCCTTCATTGCCTTGGTGTAGTGCGAATCGCGGATTCAAAAGCCAGTCCGACCGACCCAGATGGTCAGTAATCTCCTGCTCAGTGAAGCGCCCCTGCAGGAAGCCTGCTTCCACTTCCGCGCTAGCAGCATTTAGCAGTTCGCGTTCATCGCGCGGTGTTGCCTTCTGGCCTGCACCCATTTTTGAGCGCCGTCTCCAGATTGCCGAATCTTCCCTGCACTGTGTCATTGTGGCTGGTATCAAGTTTTCCCTAAACCCTTGGGGTGGGCTCTGCCAACCCACCATAGGGACTCCGTCCCTCATGAGATCAATCACCCCCATGTCCGGGTAATCGAGTGATTTCAACAAGGATTCAAAGAGTTTGATGTTTTTGATCGACAGCCTACTGCGAACATCCGGATGCATTGCGCCTTTCATCACCTTCTCCTGCTGTTCCAACTCAACTCGAAGTGATTTGACTTTAAACACCGTCCTAAGACGATCTTTGGCCATCTCAAGAACTGGGGTGCTGACCACGCGGTGTACGGCATCTATTGTTGCAGGGTGAAGAAAATTCTGGCCGTCCACTGGGCGACGCACCTTTTTGGTTGCGTCGAAAAACTCCTCTGGTTCCCTCCAAACTCCGCACTTAAACATGAGTTTCGCCCTCTTATTGCGGGCCTGACTTGGTGTCTAAGTCTGGCCCCCCCGTGATGGAGGAGACGCCAAGAGTTTATATGCGGGGATCGTGACTGCGTGGGGCAAATGTTCAAAGCCCAAAAACTCGGAAATCAATGGGGGCTGACGCAAGTTTTGGGTTCCGAGAGCCATGGTAGTCAAGTCCTTGAGACGGGGATCGAGGTGTAACGTGAGGCCCAATTGTTGGATACGATCTTGAAGACAACGTGACATGCACTGGCACAAAGTGGCGGGGTATGCCGCCTCAGCTGCCGTCGGAAAGACCATTCGTCCATGTTCTAAATGGGGAATCCAACTGGCATGTGTGTGCTTATGTCAACGGCAAGCGGTCAAAGAGGCCAGGAGAGCACAAGAACTTAGTGCGCTTATCCCGATCCCCCCCATGCATGCAAGCATCAAAAACAACGTGCGATAAGGACTGGAAAAAGGTCACCAACTTCGGATCACCCGTTTGACGAATCATGCTTGCAAGAAGTTGCCAAAGCCAACTGCGATGCGGATTTTCTACAGCAACCACGCGCCCTGTGGCAAAACAGAAGTTGCAAATCCAGACAAAGAGCGAATAGATCTTATTGGCCTTTTTGACCTTGACCCGATCATGGTCTGGCAGCCCCGGCAAGCCTTCCAGATGGCGCTCATCCCGCAAAGGCTGTGGCGCCCTGGCTGGCCTCAAAGCATGCGGCAGGGGCTTCTCCCTCGCTCTCAGACATGGACGACTGTGTGTGCGCAAATCCTTGAACACCTGGACATGTTCGTCACGAGTGAGGTCAAGAATGAGCAGTCGAACCTTAGTTGGGCGTCGATTGCACGAATGGTCAACTGGAAACATGTTGAATCCTACTTTACGAAGCTCAGCTGAAAATCCGGCCGAACCACAACAGACTTCAATCACTGTACATGTCAAAGGCAAAAAAGGTGAATTCCCAAGCACACTCTGGATTTGTCAAGCCGCACACTCATTCCCGGGGTGTGTCTTGTGGCACTGCTTATTCCAACAATTTTGACACCCATTCATGCAGCGCTTTCTTGGCTTGATCTTGGCTTTACACCTACCAACATTGTATCGCTTGCAAATTGGCTTGTTATCAGACTTGATCTCGCAGTCCGGTGGGACGTGGATGCCTTTGCCTCAACCCTTCGGATCATGTTCCTTTCCCTTTCCTTTTCCTTTATCATAATCACCCTTGCCCTCCCGGGGCCCCTCACGGAAGCTCTGAGCGAATGGCAAGGGGGTCAAATGCAAAAGGACCTCTTGGTGAGATGTCAAACGTTCAAAGGCAACATCAAAAGGCTTTGGACCTGCAGGGGGCGCCGCCAAATTTGAACGCGTTTCGTCTGAGAGCTTGACCCACAATCTCTTATCTGCGTTGAGCGCTTGCTCCATGGTGATGTGCCGAAAGCCTGACACAGGTTGCTCATTCAACTTCTCAAACAACGTTTGCGTCCATCTGTCCATGACAGCAAATGTTCCAATTTTTGCAATGTCGTAGGCCAAGGCTCGTCGCTGGAAGGCCATACGACGTTTGTGCTCACCTTCAATGGAAGTCTCTAAAGTCCTCTGTCCCTTGCTAAGTCGGAGGTTTCCTGATGAGTCCATGTCAATGGCTGGGTCCACCTTAGACTGTAATGTTTCGTCTTGCCTCGAAGTGCATTTGTTCAGGGGGATGTATGCAAGGACATTATCTTCTAGCTGCTGACAGGCTTTGTCGATGAGTGCATGAGATGGCTGAGTTGCAGACGTGAATGTGAGTCCTACCAAACGATTTCTTGATCTGGCGGACGCGTTCAACTTCCTCGGCTAATGGCAATGTCCTTGCCTCTGAGCTCTCAGTCCTATCTGTCTTGGCTCGTAAGTCCTCCAAGGCCATGGCGTGGGCTTCGAAAAACAGCCAACAAACTGCAGCAAGGGTCCCAGCGTCAGGCGCTCCTCCAAACGTCCTGGTCAAAAAATTGACAAACGGAGTCTCATCTCCCTGACCGGGCTGGTATGCAGTGCAATAGGCAAAAGATGCATATGTCTCCACGTCCACAGCGGACAAACTTGCCAAATTGGCTTGTGACAAGCCAACCACCAGAGCTCGTTCTTGAAAAGCCGCCTTGGAGTCCAATGCCATGGCAGCCGAATGAAAAGTTCGCCACCTTTGGGGTGTACACCTATGATCATGACATCTTTTTGACGTGGGCTAACTATGGTGCACGGGTGTTGAAGACAGCTCGAACTTGGAGTCAAAAGTGTCGTTTTTCCAATCCGGACGCAATGCACCAAACCTTTCGTTTTGGGGCCTTTGAAACACTCTTGGGGCATTACCCTCATGATGTTAATGGTCATCTGTTGCATGTGCAACCCAGCATACGTGGAAGGTCACGTGACTGGGTCATGAACCATGCAATGGCTGCGAGATCGACTGATAGAGCCTAAGTTGAATTCACACTATCACTCCAGGTGCATTGTGCGATAATCCATAACTCCAGGCCTGCTAGTCCTCTCGCCTCGTTTAAAGGTTAATGTTAGCAGTTTGATCACACGTCACTCAAGATCGCGATCCAGACGTTGAAACAACCAACAAAGGTCAAGAGGCATTGCAGGTTCAGGGAAGCCTGTGACCTCACTTAGAACCTGTTACGGGGGAACCGCTTCAAGTCTGATGCGTACAAGAGTCTTTCACAATCAAGGTATAACTCTGCAACACATGTTTTTCTTTTGCTCGCCACAGCTGGTCTGTGGTCTCGTATATGCTGGCGCCTATCGAGACTATATGGTATGTCAGCTATTCAGATATGCGGA